GAGGGTAAGGCACATTACTTGTGGAAGGTCCAAGGCCCTCCCTAATATATCTAGGCTCAGCAAGGTAGACATACAAAGAGAATAGGATCCCAAAAAGCCAGTACATTCAGTAGGGACTACATTGATCCTATGCTTGTTCCTTCCCAGTCTGGCTGGAGTTGGTGAATGCCTATTAGCTCATGTAAACTGTTTCAGTGGATGAACTCATCATGGTCTTGACCTCTTGCTCATAGTCTCATTCCTTCCACTCTTCAACTGAACTTTGGAAGCTCAGTCCAGTGCTTCAATGTGATTCTCCAAAACAATCCTGTACAATAAAGAATCTTCCAGAGGCATCACCGTCTCTGACATCAAGCTCTATTATAGTAGTTACATTTTCAAATGGCATTTCCAGATTAATAAGAAAGCTTCACCTCAAATGTCTGTGGACTATAAACTTTGCTGTTCCTGTTACCCTCGCCAGAAACACAAACTTATGTGTCAGTTGTAGCCAGAGTGTAACAATTGACACTCTCAGGAGTCTATTCATCTTTTCCCATTGTAGATCAGATCACAAGAGATGAAGTTTCTGGCCTGATCACAAGTTGATTGGTTTCTGAGTCTTGAAAAGTCTCAGAAGCAAGTTCAAACACCTTCCTCACCACCCTTTTTGTCTTCTCTCCCCAACCATCTCACCTCCACCTTCTTCTCCACCATCTCTCTGATTTCACTCCAAGGGAATGTGAGGAAGGGAAGGCATGACAACTAGTGGTGGCCCCATCATCTTTCTAAGAGAGCAAACAATGGTAAGAAGTGTGCACACCTGAGACTGCAATGCTGCTTTATTCTCTTTATTAACACTGATGACAACTTATACTGGAGAGGTTGTGGGGTAAAGTGTACACTCCTGAGTTGCCGGTGGGAGTGCAAGCTGGTACAGCCCCTTTGGATGTCAGTGTGGTGATTTCTCAGAAAATTAGGAAAAAAACCTTCAAGCCACTAATATCACTTTTGGGGACATATCCAAAAGAGGCACAATCATGCCATGAAGACATGTGTTCAACTATGTTCATAGCATCATTGTTTGCCATAGCCTAAATCTGGAAACAACCTAAATGCCCTTCAGCCAAAGAATGGACAAGGAAAATGTGGCACATTTACACAATGGAATACTACACAGCAGAGAAAAATAATGACACCTTGAATTTTGTAGGCAAATGGATGGTGCTAGAAAGCATCGTTTTAAGTGAGATAATCCAGACCCAGAAAGACAATTATCACATGTACTCACTCATAAGTAGTTTTAAAACATAAAGCAAAGAAAATCAGCCCACAAATCACAATCCCAGAGAACCTAGAGAGCAATGAGGATCCTAAGAGAGACATACATATATCTAATCTACATGGGAAGTAGAAAAAGACAAGATCTCCTGAGTAAATTGGGACCATAGGAACCTTGGAGAGGGTTGAAGAGGAGGGGGGCAGAGAATAATATAGAGCTCAATAAAAATCAATAAAAAATTAAAAATATCACGAAAAATAAAAAATTCTCTCTCTGTATCTCTGGTCACCATAGTGAGAGGAGTCACTGCTATGCCTGCGTGTCTTCAATGGATGGTCATTTGGAACTACTCCAGTTTCCCGAGAAAGAGGAATAAGCAGAAATACAGCCCTGAACCCGATACCTCAAAGGTCTGCAGGCCTGCAACTCTGTGTGCTACAACAGGCTGATTTACAGCAAGACTGAAAGAGTGGAGCCCATAGCTGATGTCAAAGGGTCATGGTGGTCATGAAATGCAGATTAGTAAATACATTCATGAAATACATTCACTTCATATGTAAGGACCATCATCAACAAGAATGCACATGTCATCTTCCCCAGCGTCAGACACATGATCCGAAGAAGAAGTAACATCTTGACCTGTGCATAGCAGACATCTACAGGGCCAGTGACATTCTGTGAAGCCAGAAGCCTGTGGTGGTGAAGAGGAAAACGACCCATTCTATCAAGAGTTCTGGAACTTTACAACCTGGAAGTGATAGAGTCTGCTGACATTTCAAGAGAGAGAGAGAAAGAGAAAGAGAGAGAGAGAGAGAGAGAGAGAGAGAGAGAGAGAGAGAGAGAGAGAGAGAGAATAACTACCTTGTGAGTCTGGACAGATTGCTCAGTAAGTAAGGGCACTGGCTGATCTTCTAGAGAGCTTGAGTTCAATTCCTAGCATTCACATGGTAGCTCACAGCTGTCTGTTTCTTCAGTTCCAAGGAACCTGAAGCTCTTAAACAGAGATATATGCAAGAAAAACACCAATGTACTTTTTTTTAAATTAAAGATGAATGATTATCTGCTCCTCTATATCTATGTTCCATAGCAAAATGAAATATTTTGTAGGTATCTGCTTTGGACTGTAATAATTTTTTCTTCCATAGTTTAGAAATATTTGTTCAGTCTTCACTTCTAAACATTGAGAATGTATAGAAAAATCCTGTTTATTTTTCTGCCTTTCAGCAAGTGTGTCTGTGTACCAACAGAAACAGAAATATCTAATCTATCCTATCCAGAGTTTTCTGAACCCCACGACTACATAAATAGTGTTATAACATACAGACCACAGCATCAGTTATGGATAGAGTAAGCTTTAACTCCACTTAATAAGTGTAATTCAATATAACATCTGTTGCAGGAACTTATTACATCATACATTTTCTTCTGGACTTGGCACTCACATCAGGTATAATCCACAGTGTCCAGGAACCAGAGAGAAGTGTGGTAATAAGGCCTACAGTGTCTTCACCTTTCCTTACATTCATGCATCTAAAGTCAATGTGTGTTTGAGAGCCCACCTATGCAGGTCTTTGTTCTCAAGGACAAATGCCACTGATGTCTACAACACTTTGAGGCACCTTCTGTATGGGGGATGGGGAAAACAATTCTGACATCATTTTATGCTCTATTTCCTGTCTGGTTTGAAACCCTCAATGGCTTTGACTAATGTTCCCCCACCTCCCTGACTCTCTTTGCACACACATCAAGATTCAGAATAGGAAGTGCGTCTTATTCAGAGCTTACTACATTAACCACAACACAAACCCTCTCTTTGCTCTCTCTGCTCCTATAAGAATTTTTGTCATTGTTTCAGCCAGTTCTCACACTGTGAGCTCTGATCCTTCCTTTAGTCCATCACACACGTAGTTTTCTAATGTAGGAGTGTGATTACAGCTGAGAAAAGCAATGCAGTGAGAGATAACTGAAACAGGTTCTAACTAACAACTTTCTCAGGACAGCTTTCTTGAGTACTTTCTTCACTTTGCAGGTCTCTTTTGTCAGTGTGTTCCAAATATGACATCCACATATCTTGAGAGACTATGGAAAAAGAAACATATTTCTAACTCTAAGGAGATCTGTTACCATGTGAAATATTTTTATGTATTGACGAATGATAAAAATCAGAACCCTTGAATGAAGTGGGGGAAAGCTTCAGTGAGAAACAGGTGAATATGGTAAGAAAGGGGACCTTTTCAGCACTTCAACATAAAAAGTGATAAATGGAGACATGGTGGCACGAGCCTATAATCCCAGACCTCAGAATACTGAAACCTGAAGATCATGAACTTTAGGCCATTTTAGGCTTCTAAATAAAATCCTATCTCAAAAATACATAAATTAATAAAACTAAACACAGGAAGAAAATGAATCAGTAAGTTAACTGAACAAAGAGACAAACCACAAATGAGGGAAAAATCTTGTGACCTATTAATCTGACAGGGGTTTGAGACACTAAAGAATAGAAACAATCAACCGAAAAATGAGCTACGGAAGAGAACAGAGAGTTCTCAAAGGAAAAAATAAAAATGGCTAATAAATGAAGCATTGCTCTTTTTAGTCATCAATGAAATGGAAATTAAACTAAATTGGCACTTCATGTCACCTCATTCAAAATACTATCGTCATGTAAGGTAAAGATGCTGGGAAGTAGGGTGGCTTCACTCAACCTGGGTAGAAGCATAAACGATGTAACAACAATGGAAAACAGTGTGAATCATTCTCAGGAATCTAAATGAGGAAATCTTGTAGGGACCAGTGATGTAGCTCCTGGATATGTATCTGAAGGACTCTTTATAATTGCTCAACCACACTTATTGGTGCTCTAGTCAAAACTTCTAGGAAATAAAGTCAGCATATATTTTCATCAACAAAAGATTGAATATTGAAATGCTGGTGGATATATATATATATATATATATATATATATATATATGTGTGTGTGTGTGTGTGTGTGTGTGTGTGTGTGTGTGTGTATGAATTAGAGTCAAAAGAATGACTTGGGAAACAGTGCCTTGAGGAACTGTAGAGGCTCCAGTAAAAGAGTGAGGGCCTTTTACTTCAAGTGTATTTTGTTCACTGGATTGTTCTTGGACACAATTTCATGCCTCCTATGTTAAACATTTACATTCATTTTATAAGACATGTCTATGTCTTATAACTATGACTTGGACATCAGATCATAGCTACAAAATCCAGTATTGTCAGTGCACACTGAATCTGTATATGATCTTCTGCCTTCCTTTCATTATTTCCCAGATATGATCTACAGTACTTGTCAGGTAATTGTGTTTGAATTGGTCTGTCATGAGAAAGTACTAGGAAATAACAGCTCTATTAATATTTTGTAGGTGCTTATTGACATTTATTTAAAAGTTTTCCTGATCATGTTTTCCTGATCTAAAATGACCTTGATTGGATCACTGCTTTCTTTGCTAATTTTGTGTATAAAAGTAAAATGAAAATGAAGTAAGGTTGTCTACAGCATTAGACTGTAGTCCAACATATTCTTTCCAAACCCCAGGTCCAATAGACAATATCTGCACAGGTTGACCTAAAAGGTAAAAATATATACATCTATATGAATACTATTCATCAATAAAGAAAAATGAAATGATAGAATTTGCATGAAAATGGATGCAGTAGGAAAATACTACAGTAAGTGAGTTATTCTACTTTCAGAAACAAACACACGCAAATCTTAGCTTGTACACTTTATTTGTAGGTATTCATGTGACAATGAGTATGTGTAGATGCCAAGAAGCTAGACATCTGCCCACAAGAGGGAAGAAATGCACTAAGAATGATGAGTGAAAAGGCAATCTTAGAACACATGATATAGAAGTAGAAGGGTATGGGGGTACTGGGAACTAGAATGTTTCACTGAGAATAGGGAATAGGGGAATGGTGGAGGGGATGAGTTTGGGGGAGGGTCAACTATAAGCAGATATGTTAAAAATTGCCATAGAGAAATGAGGGACTTCATAAACAAGTTTTTCAAAATTAGAAAACAAAAAAATTTAATGGAAAGATTTTAAAAGTCAAATACGTCATATTGTTATAGAGGTTTTGGTGGTCTTTATGACAAAACATGAGGTGAGTGTCACAGCCATGTGCATGTCTTCCAGATCACAAATTTAGGCACAAAAAGAGTGTGTACATGGTTGTAGAATCAGCAACATAAGAGAAGATTGGAAAATATTTCAGTTAAATCAATAGTGTGTTTTTCCTTTTATGGCTGGTTATATTCAAAATGCTTAAATACTTTCCTTTTGGAATATGGGTGTGGGTTCATGCAGGTCTGTGGGATGAAGACAAAGCTCACCTTTAGGATGTCTCTAGCCTTTCACCTGTAGGGGGAGTCAACCTCTCTAGGGACTGAGACTCCTTCCCTTAGCCAAGGTCATTTTTCTTATTCTCCATATTTACCCCTAAGCAAGTTGATTTCCATATTCTCAAAACGTCTGACTGGGCCTCTAAAGGTCAATGAGAAATGCAAATACATGATTTAGGAATATCACAGTTTGTGGGATTTTTTCAAAACTTGTTTTGCATCCTTGGGAAGGGCTCAGAAAAGATTCACATAGAGGGCAAGAAGAGAAACAAAAGGTAACCTAGAAACAAAACATGGATTGTAGTTAGATGCTAGCACTCCACTCTGTAGCCAGACCAGGTGTAGACCAGTGGAAATTCTCCCACACTTTCCCAATCAATCAAGCCTTCTCTACTTTTCTCTTAATTCCCATTGTGTATAGAATAGAAAGAGATTTTTTTCCACCCAGTGTTCTGTGTTCTAAGGCTTTGACAGGGCTCAGTAGGTTTGGGTGCAGTCTGCAGGTGCCAGGGAAGCACTGTGTGCGCACTGCACAGAGGTAGACAGCTGAGTCACTGGGCTGGGAGTCTCTGAAGTGCAGGGAAACTTGCAGGCTGGATTTATTGAGGTGAACAGTGAATCTGCCTTCCTCCTTTTTGCCATTGGAGAAGATGGATATCAGAGCCTTGAGGCCTTTCCCAGGATGCTGTTTGTACCACCAGAAGTTCGGAGAATTACTGTCACTGAAACTACAGTTGATAGAGGTCATGGCTCCCTCTGAAACACTGAGGTATTCAGGGCTCTGTTGCACCTTCTGCTGGCTGTTCATCCCTGTGCAAAGAGATGGACAAACAAGACTGGTTGTCTATGGATACTAACAACCCAGAAGGGCTTTTCCATGGCCCTCCCGCCTGCTTTTGTTTCAGCATGAGAAAATTAGTACTTCTACCCTTCCACCTAAAATATCTGAGGCTATATTCTTCCATACTGTACTTTTATGTTCCCATAGGAATGATCAAACTCACCCCTCAGCTGAAGCCAGAGTACCACTAGTGAAACACTTAAGGGATGCATCATTGTTTTCACTGAAGATTCACTCTTCAACAGTAACAAAATGACTGGAGTTTACCGAGTTCAGATGCTTCTACTGCAAGATGAATAAGAGAGAAAAACCTCAAGCTGTTCATCCAATTAGAAAGAACGTCCTAGTTTTCACTGCTACCTCAGAAGCCTTTCTCCTCCCCCAGCCACCCTCACAGAACACAGACACAAAGGACCATGTGAGAAATTGCCTCGGGTCTCTGAGAAGATGCTGCCCTCCTGTGGATGCACCTTAGTGTCAACTATTTGAAGTGCAGACTCTTCTTATGTGAACTATTAAAACAAGCAATAGTTTAGTCAGACGAGAATTTTGAGACATGTGCTCAAGTTTACATATGAGTGTGTTTGTGCAAACACTTTTCACCAAATGGCGAGTTATTTTCAGCAAATGAAAGTTATTCCACTAGTCACTTTTCTGTAGCATTTCTGAAGAACCTCTCAATCAAATAATAGTTTATGTTCTTTATCTCTTCCATGTTTTAGCTCATACACCCCTATATTGCTCTTTCATCATCATTTTTTATATAAATTTTCTAAAGATATGCTTAAAATAAAATAGATTTAAAAATGGTTTAACATATATGGCTCCAATTCACAGCCTAGGTGCATTTTATTTATTTATTTATTTGTCTATTTATTCATTCATTTATTTTGTATATGTTTGAATGTATGGGGGTGTAAACTCATTGGCCCATGTGTGTGTACATATGTACACTTCACAGACTGTCTTTATTACTCTTTGCCTTATTTTAATTATTTAAAATGCATTAAAAAACCCCGTTGAAACAATTATAAAAATCATCATGGAATTCACTGCTATATCAACAAGCCATTCTCTTCTTCCCTGCCCACCCTCTCTCACACAGAGACACAAAGGCACGCCTGAGAAATTGCCTCTGAATCTCTCACTGAATAAAGCTCACCATCCCAGGTTGCTTTGTCAATGAACTCCATAGACTGGACTGACAATGTCCTCACCAGTGCTAGGGCTGTAGTTGTGGGTGCAGTACTGGATAATACACGTGTTCTGGGGATCTGAACATAGGTCTTCATGTTGGTGAGATGGGCACTTCACTGATTGAACCATCTCTCCAGGACCTGTTTATTTTTTTTTAGCAGTACCAATTATATAAAATGTTGTTGATTGTAACATCTTAATACACGTATATAAGATATGTTACTCATATTCGCTCCCAATTTCCCTCTTTTGCACTTGCTGATGAACAGTTAAGCTCATTCATAACTTGGTTAATGTAAATAATACCAAAACAGCATGGTGTGCACATATCATTGTTGTAAACTGAGTTTTATTCCTTCAGGCATACATCTAAGACTGATAAAGTTCAGTTATGTGGATTTGATATTTTAGGAGATTTTTAGTAGGAAAATATTACACTACATTTTGTAATGTTTGCACTAATTTATATTCTGATCAATTACACATTAGGGTTCATTTATTATCATGCATAAACACCAATGCTTTTTGTTTTATCGATGACATCCATTATTTTGGGGTTAGATGAATCTTTAGCATAGATATTATTTGACCAGCTGTTTCTTTACCAGGGTGGTACCAGAAGTACTTGGAAGTGCAGTAGCAAACATCCATGGCAGGGTTGCTGGTGATCATCTGGGACAGTATCTGCTCCATCCCTGAGACAGACAAAGAATACAACACCCTAGAAAGACAGAAGTTGAAGCTGTGCAGAAATCAAAAGTATAACTTTTATTTATTGAAATGAGAAGGCTTACAAAGCAAAGCCAACTGAGCTTTGGCTAGGGAGTTTTATTGAGCCAATGTGTCTTCTCTTTCCCACTATTAGTTCTATTTAGCGTCCCCACCCCATGCCTATCCACCAGTTCACCTCAAGTGGTCTTCTGGCAACAAGAAGTTGCCCTCTCAAGGAGCTTGCTTTTGTTTTCCCATCTGTCTGTTCTACTCTAACTCTTTGTCAGCATCACCCCTCACAGATCAAGAGCTGAAGCATAATTAGTAAAAACTCAGAGATGGATATCAGAGTTCAACCTGAATACTGGAAAATCAAAGAAGCCAGTCACTGGCTTGTACTTCAACCCCAGTCCAAAAATGGTGATCTTAACTACAGGAAAACTCAGCCTGAGACTCAGCCTGAGATCTGTCTCCTCTCATTTTATAATCCTTTCTAGTTCTGGGATTAATCATGGGCACCACTACTGCTTGGTTTCTATGACAAGCTAATGTAATTTCTAGGATTAAAATTGTGTGTCATTGCAGCTACTGGGATTAAAGGTGTGTGTCACGGCTGCCTGGTCTTTAAGGATGGCCAGTGTGGCTGTTTTACGTTTCTGATCTCCAGGCAGTTTTATTTATTAAAATACAAATGAAATGTCACCACATTTTCCATTTTTGTCTAAAATAAAAACGACTATAAAAAATATAAGAAAATCTATATACAATAAGTACAATAATTATATACAATATATACAGGCAATAAATACATCAATAATGTCTAGTCTATTTGTAGCTGACAAATTCAGAGAAAATACTCCATATCTATCCTATCTCAGTGAGTCCAAAATCTTCTATCTAATTTATTTTCTATGTTAACTTGCTTTCTGTATCAGGTAAACAAGGAAAACTATAATTATAACTGTCTAGTATTCAACTCCCTTGGAGACCCAAGAAGGAAGCAATATTAACTGAGTAAGCAGGAAGTACAAGCAAGTGAAGTCCAAAATCTATAAGTATTGTCAGAAACAGCTGTCTTCCTGAACAGTCACCCAAAGTTCCTTTGAAATGTTGGGGTATACATCTTCAGCCTACAGGCCTAGCATATCTGACAGACTTTTCTGTAAAGCAGGACACTGTAAAGTTTGTCCCTCCTTGTCTTGACAATGTTTGGCAGTTACGTTCTTTGTGTTCTGCTTGTCTAATAAGGACGACATACTGTCAGCAGTTAAAACAGGGGTATTTTCTTGCTCTGTTGCTTACTTTGACCACAAAGAAAGTGAACTCCATGTGGAGTTTCTTTGATGCCCATTACTTCCTGAAATAGATTGGTACTGCCAGGAACAGGCATATCTCATTGTCATAAAAGGAAACCAAGGTTATGAAAACATCTTAAGTATTTTATCCTATAGATCTTCGAAGTATTTGTCTATCCAAATAAATTTTTGTTTTACCTTGGAAGCATACTTAATATGACTGCAAGTTTAATTATAATAAGTGATTAACTATTAACATGCATTTTTGTTATCCTAAACAGTTGGTAATAATAATTTTTAAGGACTAGAAATTTACATTACATTGTAAGGTGAGTTATATAGGTACAATACCTTGAACAAGAGTAGAAATGTATGTATAGTGTGTTCTCACAAAATTAATCTCAATACACAAAATTTGTATATAGTATACAAAAGTCCAATCCAATGTAAAACAATTAAAACTAGTAGTTCCTTTTAAAAAATAGATTCAATAATCTACCCTCTTTTCTTATCATACCTATTTCACCATTTTTTCTTTTCGAAACAAGAACCTTTAATCTGATCTCCTTAGTTAGCTTTTTTCCTGACCATTATCCATAACAACTTGTAGCCAACACTTTAAACAAAGGCAAATATCCATAATCCATTTAACTATGAAAACCCACCCAACCTACCTCTTGGGAATGTAGGTATCATACTCTTAAATTTACTTCCTGTTGTCTGGAGGCAATGGTATCTTTCAGAGATCCTGAAAAGTTTGGTTAATTGTCAAGTCCAGGTGAATGTAGCTGTATCTTTTTTTCCAGTCAATGCTTAATGGCAAAATTCAAGTCTTGTCTTAAGTCCTGGCTAAAACAGTCTGTTAGGCTAGATCATCTCAGCTAGCCACCTCAAAATTTTCTGAGCAGTTTTAGTCCAAAGTTGATCCTTAGGGGGTATTTTTTTGGTTTAGGGGTGTTATCATATTCCTGGAGGAGTCATTATTGTAGAGCCCCATCTTACATATGGAGACTTCAAAAATTGCTGTTAGGCATGCTCATGTTTCATTGTAGAAAACTGTTATAGACTCAACCCAAAATCAAGTATAAGAATGTAGATGAAACCTTTTACTAGAATTAGTCAGTACACTATATGACCATTAATGTCATGTCAAAATTTAATAAATGTATATGTATATATATATATATATATATTAAATCTTATAAAGTTTATAAGTCAAAAAATTGTCAAAGTGTCAATATAAAACATAATGATTATGAGATTAGTAGCAATAATGTAGTCTTTAATTTTTTTCTTCGGTTCCATATCAGGTGGCTTTTCTGACAAGAGATGGAGATTTTGAATTTCACTTTAATAAGCAAGCTTGGGTTTAGAGGATAGCCATACTCTAACTCCAAAGCTAACTTTAAACTTTAGTTGCACTGGGACTACAAAAAAAATCTGCAATATTTGTCTGTAGAAAAAAGCAGAAACAAACATTTAGGAAAACTTGCAAAGTTTTACCTTGTTGGAAATATGATATATTAATGGGCCATTTTACTCTTTTCCTTGAGACTTTTTTTTCTCCATGATTTATTCTGTTCTTCAGATGTTTCATTTGTCCAGTAGTCTTCAGATTTCTTAGCTATATATGTTTATTCTCATGAAAAGACAGAAGCAAAATCCTTCCCCAACACTAATTTTGGGAAAATCTTTTTTGTTAATATCTGATCGAAGGAAAAGTGTTTACTAGTTTTATAGGCCAGATCAGATTAAAAGTCCATGATATTTGGATAAAATGCCATCGCTTCTAATTAACAGGTATCTCTTGTTCAAATTGAATTTTTATCAATTCTGGTGGTATCTATAGCTTTTCTTCTCCCATGGAAAAAAACTAAAACCTCTTCCTCTGGCGTAGGAGGGTCTTCTGTCTATGTGTTACTTTCATTGGGGAATTGGGAGGGTGGAGATGGAGGAAGGGCAGATATAGGAGCAGGGAAGAAGATACTGACATTAAAAGATCCATTTTAGGGCCGGCAAGAGACTCGGCTCTAGATGGGATCCCAGGTATCCACAGGGATGTCCCCAGATAGGTCCTTGAACAGCAAAGGTGAGGGTGCCTGAACTGTC